GAGAGAGAAACAGACAGTGAGAGGGAGTGAAGGGTCCCACTGTACATATGCACGTATTAGTATGGAACCATTACTAATAGTAATACTGCTCTCTCTCTCTCAGCTTGCAATCCCACTACGGCTGGCTACAGTCTGCTTTTGGTATCTGTGATGATTCTTTTTGATTTGTTTTAGCATAGTAGCACGTGCTATTTTATCACATCATAGTTCATAGGCGAGCCTTGGCTAGAATGCTATAATCTTCATGGTCAACATGCATATTACTCCCTCAAGGGTTTCGAAGGTTACACCTGTAACAGTAGCAGGTCGAATCAGAAGGGACAAATGCTTCGATTGTAATGTATAGCAACGCGCACTCAAGTTTGTCATCAATCAATTAATGAATCGTGCCTATTGAAATTAGGCAGCAGAAGCTCATGGGCTGCGGACCGTTGCATATGGAGGCTGTTTTTTCGAAAAGGACGAAAATATCGAGTTACGGCGTGCAGGGTTTCGCGCGGTTATTTATGAACTGTTGGCAGCGGCGGCGATGGCGGTGGCCCGCGTTGTTCTGTGCTGGTCGCAAACGAGTGTCAGGGTGGTGATGACTATAGAGGAAGGAGGGAGGCCACTAGCTTGTGTGTACAGAGACTCCCCGACGTACGAACATGTTCGCTTCCGAGCGGTCGTTCGTAAGTCGATTTGTTCGTAAGTCGAACATATGTACGTACGTATACAGTATTGTACTACAGTAGTGTAGTATATGTACGTGTGAACATCGAATAACCTAGAAGTGTACATAGTGTAAACATATACGTGAACACAGGAGTTGGCGAAAGTCAAAATTAGGGGGGGGGCGATTGTGTCTTTTTATTCACTAATATTGACATTATATACAATAATGGACTTCAGGGCAAATTGTTCGTATCATCGAAAGTTCGTAACGCGAATGTTCGTAAGTCGGGGAGTGTCTGTATGCATGCTCGCCTGAGTACAGGTCAGTGCACGGCGACGAACGAGTATGTAGAGAGTCAAAATCGGAGTGTAAATCGTGAGTGACGGTGAGTTGTGTTGCGCGCCTTCTATGCAAGCTGATCCAACACAGAGGTTGCATTAATAGCAGCGGGCGCGACAGAAGACCGAGTTATAATTGAGGATTATCGGCATTGTCACCGGGAGGTGATGGCAGCTTAAACTACAGTCGGTGAGTGATATGCCGTCACAATGCCATCCATGCTGAGGCCATAATAAAAATATTGTTTGTTTGCCCTCACCCGACCGACCCGCCAAAAAGGCGCTGACTCCAAAATTTTTATTGATCTTTCCCATTTTTTTTTTTTTAAATTGCATCACTGTACATTATATAAATCTGTAGGCAATACATTATATGTACCAAGCAAAACAAACTTTCAACATGAAAGGTATCTCCACACAAGCACACCCAAGCATGTAGACACCATGCTGAATTTCAATTTGTAAAAAGTCCCACCTAAAAAAAAAAAGAAGCGTACCTACCTACCCAAACTTTTCAGCCTGGGTCGGGTGAGGGCAAACAAATATTTTTTTAATGGTGGCCTGAGCTTTGTGGGTGAAACGTGGATGATGGGGGGAGCCATCCTTGCACTTACAGGAGGCGGTGGGGCTGGAGGCGGGGTTGTTGGATGCGCTGGCCTAGATGGTTATCTGCTCGCAGTTACTACTTGTCATCCGAAATTGAGTGAAACTGCGAACGGAAACCGTAAGGTTGTTAGGGCTGTTCGATTATAGTTGGACTGCGATTAGGGCGGGCGTTGTTTGTGCATAAGTGACGCATGCCGATACTATTTTGCAGTGGCGAACGATTGCATTGCTGATTAGTAGACTCGTCAATAATTAGTAGACTCGTCATTAATTAGCGGGTGGCAGTGGCAAGCAGGAAGATGTCAACCATGTTTTATAAGCCGGTGTGTTAGACTATGCATGGTTGGTCTGCAGCTTTCCTATTACTGGCAATGCGGTGTCGTTGAATACTGGCAATGCTGTGTCATCACTGGCACTCACATGTTATGTCACCTATTGCAATGCGGTGTCATTATTGGCTTTCAATAAGTCATCAATACTATGTCATCACTGGCAATGCTATGTCATCACTGGCAATGCTATGTCAACACTGGCAATGCTATATCATCATTGGAAATGTTATGTCCTCACTGGCAATGCCATGTCATTACCGGCAGTGCTATACTATCACGAACAGTGAGTGCTATACCCTCACTGGCTCCTTCACTGACTATACTACGTCATCACCAGCTGACAGTAGCATGACACATGCACCTGTTATAGTTGCCACGTCCGTGTGGTGCGTACGGTGGTGCTCGGGGACCGCTGTAGATCGTAAGCCTAGCGCAGACTTGCGACTTTTGGTTGCTCGTCGCTGCAACCTGCAACCGCATGCGATCGGTCGCACGCTTCACCGTGTGTGCGCATGCAAGTCGCTGTCTACCCGCACACATGCGATTTCGAAGCGATTTCGGAGCGATTGGGAGCGTCGAGTTGCTGAAAATCAAACAAGTTTGATTTCTTGCAACTCGCGCGTTCAAGCAACCAGAATCGCTATGGGTTGCAGTTGCACGTTCCCGCAGACAGCGATTTCATTTCACAGCAATTTCGACTGCGATTCTAGAATCGCAGCCGAGTTGCATGAAAAAGTCGCAAGTCTGCGCTAGGCTATAGCCTGAGTGTATGATGTTCGATGGCTGGTCGGGTAGATGTTGGTAGATGGTTGGGCTTCACCGTTGATTCTCTCTTCAGCATCCCGCCACGTGGCAACGATGTCCTAGGCGGCCGGATAAGTTGCGGGGAAAGTGCAATATTTCTCTTATCGTTCACTCTCGAAATAACTTCATAGTTTGGGGGGACTGGCCAAGTTTCTCTATCGTTCACTCCCGAAATAACTTCATAGTTTGGGGGGACTGGCCAGGTTTCTCTGTCGTTCACTCCCGAAATAACTTCATAGTTTGGGGGGACTGGCCAGGTTTCTCTGTCGTTCACTCGCGAAATAACTTCATAGTTTGGGGGGACTGGCCAGGTTTCTCTGTCGTTCACTCGCGAAATAACTTCATAGTTTGGGGGGACTGGCCAGGTTTCTCTGTCGTTCACTCCAGAAATAACTTCATAGTTTGGGGGGACTGGCCGGGTTTCTCTGTCGTTCACTCCAGAAATAACTTCATAGTTTTGGGGGGGACTAGCCAGGTTTCTCTGTCGTTCACTCCCGAAATAACATCATAGTTTTGGGGGACTGGCCAGGTTGGTTTCTCTTATCGTTCACTCCCGAAATAACTTCATAGTTTTGGGGGACTTGCCAGGTTTCTCTGTCGTTCACTAGCCGGATTGCATCATGCGTGGCTGATGTTGTGGCTGATGTTCCTGTCACTCGTCCTCTGTTGTGTAATTTACCAGTTTGATAAGCAGTGGGCGGACGTGGCGCTCTGACGTGGCACGTACGCACGCAGCCGTGCGACATGTCTGGCTTCATTGATTGCCACGTGACATTGGCAGGTACTTACATGTCGCCTCTCGAAAATAACTCGCCGCACTCGCAGGCGCACATGCGAATACGCACGTACGTGCAAGCCCGTACGTACGCACGCACGCATGCTCGCTCGTCGCCGTGCTTATGATGGCTGGTATTTTGATTGGCACGTTGTGCGGAGGAAGGGGAGCGCTGCCGTTATATGGTTAGCCGTGTATAAATGAATTTTTGATTTCAGCAGCGTGACTTGTAGAGCTTGCGCGTGTATTATATTGACTTGGAGACGACAATGTTTTGACGTAATAAAGGACGATATTTGTCAAGTTCACCCTCAGCGTTGAAGTCTTTCTGTAGGATTTTGAGATCCGTGGTTTTCCTAGGTTATAATAAGTTATCGGGTTTGCCGTTTCGCTGCTGCTGAAACGAGCAATCAAGTCTTATTCTGCTATAATAGGGAACTGCTGTGTGATCATGAGTGATTCACTGGCCGCCTCTCTGACACTCGCGATTGATTCTCTGTCGCATACTTAGACGAAGTCGGATATTCATGGTAATTCAAAGATATGTACACACATGTTTTATATATATATATATATATATTATATATATATGGGTAATTATAGGACCTGGTGCTGTTTGTTTGTGTTTACTTGTTTTTGTTGTATTCTTGTTGCTGTTTGTCGCTTAGTGGGGTTGGTTACTGTTTCGTGGTTATTGTTGTCACAGTAACGATTGTAAACACGTTACAATCGTGTTTTCTTATGTTGTTGTTGTTTTCGATTATTTTTTATCGTTCGTCAATGTATGTCGTTCGTCGTTGTCGACGTCGTTCGTCAATTTCCCTATTATCTACGTCTGATGTTACTCTCACACGTCTGTGCATTAGTACGTCGGCGAGCGAAGCGAGAAGACGAGAGAAGAGAGAAGATAGAAGACACGAGAGAGAGAGAGAGAGAGAGAGAGCAAAGAGAAAGAGAGAGAGAGAGAAGAGAGAGGAGAGAGAGAGAGAGACCAGAGAGAGAGAGAGAGAGAAGAGGAGAGAGGGGAGAGAAGCAGAGAGAGAGAGAAAGAGAGCAGAGAGAGAGAAGAAGAGAGAAGAGAGAGAGAGAGAGAGAGCGAGAGAGATGAGAAGAGAGAGAGAGAGAGAGAGAGAGAATGAGTAGAGAGAGACGAGACACGAGAGAGAGGACGAGAGAGAGAGAGAGAGAGAGGAGCGGGAGAGTAGAGAGGAGAGAGAGAGAGGAGAGAGAGGAGTCAGAGAGAGAGAGAGAGAGAGAGAGAAAGAAGAGAGAGAGGCGAGAGAATGAGTGACGACGCACAGAGCAGCCAGACGCCCGCAAGGACAGATCGCGAGTGAGCACTGCAACCGAGCGGAAAGACCCGGATCACCCCCGGGCGCGAGCAGGCTACAACGCGGCCAGACAGAGGAGAAACCAGGACGGATCAGTGAGTGAAAGACAGAGAGGCGAGGGAGTCGATTGAAGAAAACGTACAGAAGAGAGAGAGCAACGAGAGAAAGAGAGAGACGAGGAAGCCAGAGAGAAAGAGCAGTGCGCAGATGAGAGGGAAAAGAGACAAGAATAGCGAGAGAGAGAAGGAAGAGAAAGGAGAGAGTAAGAGACAGAGAGGAGAAGTAGAGCAGAGCAGGAGCAGAGGAGAGAGAGAGAGAGAGAGTAGAGAGAGAAAAAGAGATGAGATAGAGAGGACGAGACGAAGCCGGAAAGGCGAGAGAGAGAGAGAGAGGCGTGATGAGCGAGAGAGTGGACAAAAGAGACATCAGAGAGAATAAAGATGACACGAGACTAAGAGACAGACACAGGAGGAGGGAAAGGGAAAGAAACAAAAAGAGAGAGAGAAGAGAGAGCGAGATAGTGAACAACAGCAAAAGTGCCTTCCGCGGCAGAGGACAGAGAGAGAGAGAGAGATAACGAGAGAGAGAGGAGAGACGCAGAAAAGAGAGAAGGAGAGCGAGTGAGAGAGAGAGGCCGATGACGAGCAGAGAGAGAGAGAAGAGAGGGAGAAATAAAGAGAGAGAGAGAGAGAAGGGAAAGAGAGAGACGAGAGAGAGAGAGAGAGGAGAAGAGAGAGAGAGAATGACAAAGAGACAGACACAGCGGGTAGGGTCGACCCCCACAGAGAGAGAGAGAGAGAGAGAGAGAGAGAGAGAGAGAGAGAGAGAGAGAGACGAGAGAGAGAGAGAAAGAAGCGAAGCGACGAGAGAAGCGCAGGGAGAGAAGAGAATAGAGACGCGAAGCGGCGCGAGAGAGGGACGAGAGAATGAGTGTGAGGGAGTCAGACTGACATGAGACACAGACACACAGTCAGAAGAGAGAGACGAGAAGAGAGAGAGAATAGAGAGAATAGAGAGAGAGAGAGAGAGAGAGGGAGAGAGGAGAGAAGAGAGAGACAGAGAATTCATCACGCAGAGAAAGAGGAGAGACAGAGGAGAACGAGAAGAGAGATAGCGCCGGGGGTCGGCAGACGACGGGAGCTCAGCGTGGAAGTGAGTGAAGTCACCCATGACAGGAACGAGACGACGAGAGACGAGAGGAAACGAGAGAGAGCAGCCCGCTCGAGGACGAAGTGAGGATTGAGAGAACTGGAGCCTGACGCTCGCCCAGACGTAGAAGAGAGAGGAAGTGCGTGTGTCGTGATGAGAGAAGAGAGAGAGAAGAGAGAAGAACAGGAGGAGGAAAGCAAGACCAGAGAGAGATGAACGAGAGAGAGAAAGCAGGGGCGCGGCGCGGGAGAAGAGAAGTGAAGCCGGTCAGAGAGTAGAGAGAGAGAGAGGACTTGTAGGAGATGTAGATTCCCAGACCGGACCGAGAGAGGAGACGGGAGAGAGACGAGAGGGAGAGAGAGACGAGCGCAGCGAAAGACAGGGAGAAAGAGTAAGACGAGAGGACGAGAGAATGAGTGAGCTGACTGAGAGAGCAGAGAGAGAGAGAGTCGGTTGTGAGCGTGACGGGAGAGAAGAAGAGAGTCGAGCGAGCGAGCAACACGAAATGAGAGGAGCGCGAAGAGCGAGAAGACAGCGGGGACAGGACAGAGGCAGAGCGAGAGAGACACAGAGAGATGAGAGGAGAAGAGACAGATAGAGGAAGAAGAGACAGAGATCATCCGTTAGAAGACAGAGAGAGAGTGAGAGCACCTGCGTAGAGTCGAGTCGAGAGAAGGTGTGTGTGGTGTGTGTGTCTGTGTGTGTGTGTGTGTGTGTGCGTGTTGTTGTGTGTGATGAGAGAGAAAGAGAGAGAAGAGAGAGAGAGAGAGAGAGGAATAGAGAGAGAGAGATGAGAGAGCAGAGAGAGACGAGAGAGAGAAGAGAAGAGAGAGAGAGAGGAGAGAGAGAGAGAGAGAGAGGAGAGAGAGAGAGAGAGAGAGAGCGAGATGTGTGAGAGGGAGTGTGTGTGCTGGTATGTGGCGAAGAGGAGAGAGAAGAGAGAGAGAGGACGAGAGAGCGAGCAAGTGTGAGGAAGGGTGGTGGGGTGTGTGTGTGCGTCCGAGCGAGAGAC